TCTTTCTACGTCTATTGAGATACTNTTTGTGTGAAAGTAATAATCCCCGATACGTTCCATTGAACCATTAATAAGCAAAATATTGTTCTTTCTACGTCTATTGAGATAACACCATTGGCAACCGACCACCATCTAACACGTTGGAATTTAAAAACTTCATTATTGGTCTTTACTCATTTAGTAAAACATTTGTTGTCAAGAATATTACATAGTTTTAATTTTTCAACCGTGCTAATTAAATTGCATGGGATCAGTAAGAGTAACATTTATTGTATTTAAATTTTATTCAATAATGACTAATTATTTATATAAATAAGCATTACTTGAAAAAAAAAAACATAAGGAACTTTATATATAAGCCAGCAAACTCAACATTTTATTTTACAATAAGTCATTTTCTGATTGTAATTGATTAGCTATGATACTACTGTCGTACGTCAGTAGTACCTCGATGTAGACACAAAAGTAGTACACAAATTAACTAATGTTTTTTGACGACGAGTTCGTCATTTTTAGCTCTTCTCTAGTCCTCCCGTTGGATACACTGGTCAGCCCCAATCCCTCCAATTAGTGAATTACAAAAAAGGTAGAGCTTAGATCCGTCAGCACGGTCTAGCTCAAAACTATTAGACTGAAGAGTGGCTCCTCGTCAGCCACCAGCAAAACGACCTTTTCACTATACCTATTAAAGGATGGTTAGGTCCAAAAACTATCCAGCAAGCACACTAATTGTTATGATCGACTAAAGGATCAGTAGTCCTACCTTGACTTTTGCCGCACACACACAATTTTTAATAGCACGGCGGATATAAAGTATTTACGAACAAGTGCAGGTTATTACATAGTTATTTTATTTATGAAACGCTAAAACACAAAGTCAAAATTTAATATAAAAAAATTTAACACAAAATTAATTAAGTTATACAAAATACGAAGTTACTTAAGCATACCAAACGTTCTGATCCGTAGCTCGACGTTTCTTCATCAAAACGTCAATCCCCTATACTTTTCATGTTTTCCGTTATATTTTCTTTTTCTCACCTTTAATTGTTTATCCTGCACTTTCCTTTTATAAGAACATTATTATATTGCTTAAGAATTTAAAATTTGCTTACTATTAAGGTAAAATTTATATTATACTAATATTTACGTTATTTAAAAAAAAAATTAAAAATTATAAGTAATAATAAAATTAAGTGATTATAATAAAAGTTTAAAATGTGATATTACTTATTTTAATTAAAATAATTGGTTAATTACACCAATGGCCTACTGTTACAAAAATGTATGATATATTATTTAATAATGATATATAACTACAATTTTTTTATAAAGAGATAATAATTATAACTAATCTGGCTAATTGAAATACTGTTCATTTTAATCATTACAAATAAGGTTATGTAGATTATACTATTTATTCTACCTAACTAAAAATATTCAAATACTTCATTAAATGCATGTTCTTTAGATATATTATAGCAAAAAAAAAAAAAAGATATTAAATTTCAATATTATATAAATATTGGCGAAATCAGAATTCTCCGGATGGATGGCTGAATAATGACTAATCATAAAAATAACAGCATCAGTGCTTCACTATTAATACTATATTTTAAAATGATAATAACATCTAAAGTATTGGTCTAAAAGTTGAAGATGGACGAAATAAACTATTGGCTGAATCAATAACGTTGACATCTGAAGAAATCGAGACTGTAAGTTTTAACAAAATTGTACATCTATGCAATGGAATAATCAATGATGTATCAACAACAGGATAATTAACAGGTTGGTTAGGATATGAAATACACGATGAAGGCTCTGAAATGTTGAATGATTATCAGCTTATTTACAACTGTCATCAATGATACGTAGAGGGGAGACAGAGATTGAGTGTCTTCAGGGTAACGGGGAAAAAAATAAAACAGTGTGTGTGTGGCGGTCTTAGTGAAATGTTTTTGTGTTAAACGTATAAATTTGTATTTTTGCAATATTCCTTTATAAAGATTGTGT